TGCGACCACGCTGACGTTCAGCCATTAAAGGAATCGCCAGTCGCCGCTGCGCCTGAAGGTGAAAAAACGTACAGTGAAGAGTGCAGTGGCAAAAGTACGCCGTACTCGTATTCGAGCGAAGACACGCAGGGTTCTTCAGTCGACGAGGTCAACGAGCATCGCAGATCTGAGTCTACGTACGTGGTTTCAGAAATTACTGAAAGTGAAACTCTCGAAGAGTTATCAATCCTCAGAATGATTTTCTACAGCGCCTTTGTTCTGGGACTGTGGCTACTGTTTGAAAGCCTTTTCGTCCAAAATTTGTTCGAATGACACATACGATGAAGGAATGGGAGGAAATATCGGATGTTTGCTACTAGTTAAACTGATCTACTGGATTTCTGTTGATGCTGAAATTCCTGCATTCAATAAAAGAGATTATTGACGCTGCCACTTATGTACCCTTATTGCAACCGCCGCTGTTACCGTAAAATGTAACTCGTCCATTTTACAAATAGGCCCTATCCAGTTCGATAGATCTTAGCAGGTGCTTAACGATGATGCATACAGAGACGATTTGAAGCCTGGAAAAACACATTTACTAGCAAATCTTACGGAACCCACAACAGTGATTATTTTTCAGGTTATTTATTTATGTTAAAGAAGGGGAGCTGTTGTGGACGTCAAGAGCTTTGCTTATGACAGATATATTATGGCTTCTAATATTCACTGTTTGATGTATTGTATATCGGTTTTTGTGCAAATTACTGGATGATGTTATTCTTCGGCCAAATCTCTGATCAAATTCATTAAACATTTCCGTGATTATTCGTAATCGTTCTCCACTCTTTTCATAATATCCTACTGATAGAATAGATGGTACATGAAACGATTTCACAGTGCCTTCAATTTAAGGATTAACAGGAGGAGTGGCGCGTAATTCCTGTCTCAAGATTCCTAATCAGAGCGTCGTTCCGCAGGTCACAATTGCCTTAAATCGACAAATGCCGATTGGCAGTATCCTGTTAGATGACGGTTTCAGGCATAATTCGATGAGAGGCAAACTTTTAACTTCGTGGTGTCGAGTTCGACACTCGGAACAATAATCTTTTGACCTTGAAGCTTGAAAATCATTCTACACTGCTTTGATGTAACTAGCAAAGAAACGGTAATTCAGTCATTGACTTGTTAACAGATAGGGACGACACTGTTTTATGGTGTGATCGTAACTGGATGACCGAATGGCAGGCCATGGTCTTTTATCCAAGCGATTTCCAAGTCTATCTTTTGACTAACTTACATAATAGCTGATTATCCACTGTAATAATCGAAGCAACAAGTAAACCCTGTTGTTAAACTTATTTATTTACCTGATATGACAACTATTAGGCAAGTTTACAGGCCTTCTGCCTCTACAGATAGCCAGAAGGACTTTCAAAGCTCACTCGCCTTTCGACCATGAGGAAGGTCCGTAATCTCATGCTGAAACGTCGGTACCGGTTAATCGTACAATTGATCAAATCGAATGTTGGTTATAAATCAACCGTGTCTTGTGCTCTTTTCAGTATGACTACCAGCTCATGACCAAGTACAAAGTACAGTGTACTAGTACCAAGTATAATAAAGTACTATACTAGTACCATGTACAATAAACTTTGTAATGGTGCAAAAATAAATAAATTTTGCGACAGGTGTTTCACGTTAATTTATACTAAAACCATCGTACAAGCCTAGCATACGTGGATTAATAAAAGACAGTGTTGAGAACAACGTCTACAAATCAGTTACAAAAGACCAATTCTTGGGAGAAATTTTTGTGGACGTGGAAGAAAGCTTGATTCTGAAGAAAACTTGTATTCTGAGGTAAACTCCTAACAATGAGTCCTATAGAATACCAAAATAAGTCTAATCCCCTTTGACCTTCAGTTTTGTTCGGCATGCCCCGAGGATCGCGCTATTCTTATATCACAATTTCATGCACACTGTCTAGTTATTTAAGCTGTGCAGGATTTGAATTTATGGTGTTAAGGGAACTGAAAAATTGTATGGAAGTTTCACCGAATCCGCTACGACTTTTATTTGTCGGTGGCAACGACGTTTTTCTACATTCAATGTAGACTATGAATACAGGGGTGGGGAGGGGGCAAAATGTTACGGAACAAAATTGATGGGGCAAGGGCAGTAATATGGCATTTTTGTTCTTGGTTCTGTAAAATCATGAAATTCGTCATTCCTACAGTGCTGTCGTAAACACTGAGTCAAGGAAATTGAGTGAGAGAGAAGAAATGACGAAAACAACGTGCATGACATTTACGGCTACAGGTACATTCATTAAAATATGGCTAATATACCAAAATTTTGAATACACTGCATAAAGATATTGGGGCACAATTATGAATACTATCCTTAAAGCTCAGTTATGCTGAACGGCTTCTTGAAAGACATCCAACGTCTGGCCATTATCAAATATGAAATATGGCTGAAAGGTGAACCGAACGCGTTTCAGAAAATTCTCTATGCGCGCGCGGATAGCAAAGCGAATTGCATAAGTCAGTCGGCTTTGATTGATTGATCGAATACGTGCCGCTGATCGTCGTCTGTCGGCGCATGTCGCCCGTAATAGTCTTTCTTGGATATGTTGTCCAGATCAGAATTTTCCTGTTGTCGCACCTTAGGCTTGTTCGACTGCAATCTTTACTTTTTCTGGCAACATTGACACGAATCGCAAGTGGGATTGGTC